AGTTAGTTTTCCTAGTCAGAATAATCTTATCACAGTGTAGATAGTTTTCTTTAAATGGAAATTAAGTAATAACCATCAATGAAAAAAATTAAAGACTTATTAGCTATTATTTATGCAAGTGTCTTCATGTTTTATATACTATTCCAAGAAAAAAACAGGAGTATTTGAGTATGTATTATTATAAAACAATCCAATACTTGAATAAAGCAAATTTAGTAAAAACAAGTTTGAGAATAAAACTAAATCCTTAAGAGTTCGAATAAAAACATTAAATTATTAACACGATTTCATAAAACATTTAGTCGCACATCTTGAAATTTACACAGTCACTACTAAAAAATATTTGTTAAAAACAGCACTACTGAAATTACATCATGAAATTATGTAATTATATACATAATTTATATTTAAAAAGTATTAGAACCATTATATATACTGATCTATAAAACACTCATAACACTACAAAATATTTGTAGCTCCAATCCAATTTTTTTCTGGATACTTTGGCCGACTTGTATTTATTTCCTTTTCTTGAACTTCTGTTAAAACGAACATACATTTAATATTAACCCATTTTCTTTGATTTAGAACTATAGCGGCAATTTTTATTAACTCCTACCAGAATGTAAATAAGATTTAAGCGCTTAACAGATAAGACAGCTTTTGACAGTTAACAGTGGCAAATTTCTTTCATTCAGCTTTGTAAATGATTTATCCAGCATTAGTCATTTTGCTAACCACAGTTAAATTGCATATGTAATAATTTGAGCAAGTTCTTGTTAGACTTTTTACATTATAGTTTCCAGCATCAGTTTAATTTTAAATTGCAAACCTACCTTTTCTGTTACTGATATCTTGCAAGCAGTTCAGAATGAAATTATTAAGCACAAATCGTGCATTTTATTCTTTAAGAGTTTGTTTAAATCTTCTTTTGTTTAGGTAATTAATTTCACAGACAGAACAAATTGCTTGACTATTACTAGGGCTTAAGCATAGTCAATTTGCAGAGAGATGAAAACTATAAATTATTGAGCTAATGCATTTCAATAAAAAATCAATTTTCCTATTCTGGAATTTTTTTTAATGTTTCAGCTGATTTTCTGATATTTTAAAAGATATGCTTTTGATGAAAAAATTGCTTCTATATATAATCAGTTTTCTCTGCAGTAATTTTCATTATCTTTGAATTTTCTAACTTAATTGAAAACTTCTGTTTAAAAAACTACACACACAGAAAAATTGTTAATCTTACTTCTTTAATAATTTCAGTTCTGAGAATTACTCCAGAAAATTCTATGAAATGAACCTAATATGTATTGAGATATACAATATTAATTTTTTGTATAGTCAGTTTAATATCTTTATCAACAAAAAGGTTTTTTTGTACGTAACTGTGCATATGAGAATAAATACATGTTAGCAATGCCCTATGCTTTGGAATGGTGAAAAATCACAAAAATAAGAGAAAATAAAGGAAATAGAACTATATTAAGAGACATTTTAGATAAACACATCAGAAAACATAATTCCTGATTATTACGGCCCACATGATTTAAATGGTACAAAAAGCCCTCAATAAATTACACCAGGGATCGGCAACCTGCGGCTCTTTTGATGTAAAGTTGCAGCTTTTCAGTTCCATACAGAAAAACTAATAATTTACTATCAAAACCCTTAAAAAAATAAGAAAATATTTTTTTAAGTACCTAATTTCTCAATAGCTTTTATTTTCATAATCGTTAGTTATACTTACCATGACCGTAATGAGATAAATTTGAACCATTGTTACTGTACTGTTAATTTGAACTATTGTTCATTTTTTCAGCTTCGCCGTCTTATGGCAGCTGGTAAAAAAAGAGAAGAACTGAAGAAGAAAACAGAGTTCAATCAGGATTGGGCGGAGTCGTTTGCATTCATATGCAACACAAATGGCCTTCCGAGTTGTCTCATTTGCCACCAAAAACACGCACACATAAGAAGTCGAATTTGGAATTTGGGGAGACACTTCACTACAAAATATACCCAGTTTGCTGGTAAATATCCAAAGGGGGACGAAGTCAAGTTCCATGCTAAGTAACTGGGCATGATCTTCTAATAATGTAAATCTGTCAAGCTCTGCAGTATCATAAGAAATTGCAAAAAGAGTAAAACCATTCACGTCAAAGATTGTTTTATATTTGCATCTGAGTAACTGTTTCGTAATATTAAAATCAAAGCAGAAATCATGAAAAAAATCAATGATTTGCCATTATCTGCAAAACCAGTGCAAGATAGAACTGCTAATATGTTTTCAAATGCAACATATGCAAGTGGAAGACATTCTGCTGGCTTCTGTCTTATCACTTGTTATAGACGAGTCTTGTGACATAAAATACACGACACAAGTTACCCTTTTCGTAGGGTATATGTCCTCCCAAGGCCTAAACGAAGAACTGTAGGATTGCTATCGCTCTCAGGGCAAATTCTAGTGGAGAAGATATAGCAAATGTTTGTGCAAAAATGCCTGGAAGACAATGGAATCAATATAAATAAAATCATTTCGATAGCAACCAATAGAGCCAAAAGTATGACAGGAATACATAGAAGTACAACATCAATTCTTCAGAAAAAAGTAACCATGCAACTAACATTTCACTGTGTAATTCACCACGAAGCGCTTTGTGCCCAAACATTTCCGGCCAAAATTGTCAAGGTCATGAACTTGGTAATTAAGATTATTAATAGCATTTTGCAAAAGCACTCTACCGTCACCAGTTCAAAGATTTCCTTGATCAGTTTTCTGACCACCTTCTGTACAATAAAGTGAGATGGCTTTCCATAGGTAACGTATTGCAACGTTTTACTTTGTGCTTGAGTGAAATAAAAACATTCCTCAATGGAAAAAAGCTTTGACCATCCCGAATTGGAAAAAAACACACAGCTGCAAAACTTCTACTTCTTGGTAGATACCACAATAAAACTAAATGAACTAAATCTAAAACTGCAAGAAAAGGGCTACCCAGCCTTGCTTCAAGAAGTAGTTTATTTCGAAAACAAATTACTTATTGACACGGAGAGCGGTAAATTAATTCATTTTAAAAATCTGAAGTATATCACAATGAGACCAATGCAAGTTATTGACACGAATTACTTCAACATAGCTTTAAAAAACATGACGGATGGATTCGCTGAGAGATTCGAGCAATTCAAAACAAACAAAAGTACTCTTGCGTTCATAGTAAATCCTCTCAATGCAAATACAAATGATATCAACAATGAGACATATGGAATTGATGCTGGATCGCTTCAAATGCAACTGCTATATTTGAAAACCAAAGACTTGCAGAGTGGTAAGTTTACAGAACATAAGAGCAAATTGGAAGAGTTAGAGGTCCAGAAATGCATGCACATCGAGCAGCACAAGAGGACAACTCTAACAGAAATTCCACGAGTTGAGGCCCTCATATTCGGGACATTGAATAGTCTTCCAGAATGGTACAATGAGGTGAAGAAGTTGGCATATGGAGTACTGACAATATTCAGGTCGACATATTCATGCAAGCAAGCGTTCTCTTGCATGATTATAATAAAAAGTAACGTTTGAAATCAACTAACAAATAAAAATCTAGAGTTGTGCTTGAAACTTAAAACAACAAATTATAAGCCAGATTTAATCAATCATTCAAAAGGCATGCAAAGCCAATGCTCTTATTGATGTAACTATCTATATTTGTGTTTATATATATATATTATTCCGTATTTAAAGCCGTTAATTTGAAGTCAAAAATCAAATATATATAAGCAAAACTGTAATACTGAAACAAAACTTTTTAGTGGCTCTTTAAAAACTGGGAAATTTTGTAAATTGTAACTTTTGGCTCTTCCGTTTCAATAGGTTGCAGACTCCTGAACTACACCAAAGCGGCAATTCAACTGAAAGCTTTTCACAAACTGTTGCCAAAGGTCTGGCAATCCTTAACTACAGCCACATATAGTCTGCCAGACAATAGATCTAAATACAGTTGCCACTCTGTTATAGCCCATTAATATGAAAGCTCTTGTCACTAAATAATGGAGGTTATAATAAAGATTTACCACAAAAATTCAGATAAATTCTTTTTACTGCATTTTCCAAAAATTAAAATCTTTATCTAAATTCTTAAGAACTAAAAACCATTTTAATCTTTCAGTAAAACGTATCTAATCTGCGTAGTCTAGGCATTAATAATTTTTCATTTTACAATGAGCTTTTCCTGCAAATCAGTCACCCTTGCTCTTAGGCTGCTAATTGTTCATAAAGCCAGTATGAGACAGCTCTGTTTCAAGCCATGTTGTATTAATTCTATATTTATACAAAACGTTAATTTACTAATTTCAGAGTGGAAGCCACAAGAAAAGGATGCAAATGTCAGATGGACAAAATTGAAGATATTTTGGTGCTTTTTTAATATTACATGTTGAAGAAAAAGGATTTTTAAGAATACCGACAATCAAAATAATGCTAAATTGACTCAAAAATTAATTTTATAATACACAGTTCAAGTTACTGAAATAATTATAATGCTTTACATTGCCAAAATCTTCAGTAGGAAAAGGTTTTATTTATAAAAGTACTTTTAAACATGAAAGTAAAATCAATACCTAATACAAATTAAAATTAATCATAAATTTCAAACATTATGGCATGGACTGAAAACTGTAGCAAAAAGAAAATCTTTCCACTTCATATAGTTAAGGTTTATGATCCCTTTATTTCACCCTGACTTGGGCATTTATGCAGCTTTGTCATTTTTGAGAAACATTTTTCTTGCAATCTCCTCACCTAATACCTTGCATAGCCATAATGACCATTCAGATTTGTTCTGTAATTTCATGGCTGAAAGTCATACGACAAAATAAGAGGCTAAAAATTAAAAGCCACCAGGACTATTGGCTACTATGAATATACAGTTATTAGCCACAATAAAAATCACCTAAAATGTTAATATTCATTAGCAGAGAACTTTAAATTATTATAATACCTGATGTTTAGATGAATCTGCTTTCAAAAGAACTCCACATAGAGCTTGGACTAAAGGTAGAACATCTTCTTCTGCGTATTTACTATAGTATTTCAAAGTATCACTCCATTCAGATTTAGTTAATAACTTTAAAGATAAGTACAACGCAGCGGCAGCCAACTGAGATGGTCTGTAATGGGCAAGTTCATATTCAAGAAGAGCAATCTCCATCAAGTATTTTGCTAACGTATGCATGGTACCATCAACCTAAAAAGATTAAGATCACGCTTATATGAAGAATTAAGCATTTTAAATTTGCAAGATTCAGAAATAATATACAGTAAACCCCTTAAGACGAACTGGCTTAACTGCTATCCTGGGTTCGTATATAATGCAGTCAATTATTATGTTTTTGAACTTTGTATGCTTATAGAAAATGTTACGTTTCACAAAATGCAAACTTGTATATATCATTTTAAAGAGAATTTATTACTGAATTCAATACAAAACACAAAATTCAATTATTTGCAATACAAAAAAGTTATATGTACTTTAATATAAATAAAAAACACAGTTATGAAGTGGTTTGTAATGTCTAGCTTTCCTGGCCAATCACTGTTCTTGTTCTGAGAACCAATCAAATGTTAGTAACTGCCAGTAGAAGCTGACATCATGTTTACACTTGAAACAATTCATTATTTTGCTTTGTTCTGTAGAAGGAGGACCTGTTTCTTATACACTGCAATTACAAGTAGGAATTTTTGTAAAAAATTTTTAATATTTAGTCAAGAAGCAATGACATCAAATAAAAGAGTAGATTGGACACCTAGAAAGAGATGTAATATTATTGTGTTACGAGAGAAAGTGGTCTTTCCTATGCTGAAATTGCAAGACAGGTGGGTGGTTCAGTGACTACATCTGGAGTCCGAAAGTTTTGTTTACGATATCAGGAGACAAATTCAATAAAAAACAAAGAAGGAAAAGGCCGAAAAAGGTGCACCACATCTATTGATGACAGAAGAATAAAAAGACTATGTCTCCAAGATAGAAAAATGTCATCAGCGGCCATCAGAAGTGATCTGAATGATGCTGGTGTTTCTGTCAGTTCAAGAACAATCAGGAGAAGATTAACAGATGTTGGACTGAAAGGTAGAATTCCACGAAAAAAAAAAGCCTTATCTTAATTTTCAGCAACGAAAAAAAAAAAAAAAAAAAAAAAAAAAAGTCTACAGTGGGCAAAGGAACACATTAATTGGACAGATGATCATTGGTCACAAGTTATATGAAGTGATTAAACTAAGATAACGTTATTCGGTAGTGATGGGTGAAAATATGCAAGACGTAGAATAGGAGAAGAGCTGCATCCTGACTGCATTCAAGCAACTGTGAAGAACCCAGTTAGTGTTACGATTTGGTCATTCATATCAGTAGATGGTATTGGTCGCCTTCATGTCATCGATGGGACACTGAATGCCAGAAAATACATTGACACTATTCTGGAACCAAAACTTCCATCAGAGATCTCTTTCCCAACAATGCTTCGTTTATTTTTCAGCAGGATTCTGCTCCTTGCCACACGGCCAAAATATCGAAAGAATGGTTTCGTACAAAGAGCATTAAATTGTTGTTGTGGCCAGGAAGCAGTCCTGACCTCAATCCTATCGAAAATTTGTGGCACCGTTTGAAAACTCTTCTCCGAATGAGGTGCCCATCAAATAATCTAATTGAGGCTATAATTGTTTCCTGGCATCATGTAATGACGAAAGAAGAGCTTAAAACTCTTGTCAGCTCAATGAAACGTCGATGTGAAGCTGTAATAAAAAATAAAAGGGTACCCTACTAAATACTGATAACTCACTGCTATCATCACTATCTAATGTATATCGATAACTATATTCGTTTAACTTTTTTTTGTATTGCAAATAATTGAACTTTGTGTTTTTTTATTGAATTCAGTAATAAATTCTTTTTAAAACGATATATACAAGTTTGCATTTTGTGAAACATAAGTTTTCTATAAGCATACAAAGTTCAAAAACAAAAATTTCCAAAAGTGTCCACAATTTCGGCCACCACTGTAAATACATTTATATACGTTTGGTGTGGTCGATTGCAACCAAAATACGAGGTGCGCATCTACATGTTATAGCAGTCCTATATACAAAATTTCAACGTTCTGACGCTACTCGGTTTTGGATTACGAGAGGTACGTACGTATGTTCGTACAGATGCCCCGAAAAATTCTCTTCAGAATTCATTTTAAAGCAGTTTTATATATATTTTTTTTTTTGGGAGGAAAGGAGTATTTTATTCTGTCCTTATGTACAAATATCACGCAAAAACATCGTTAAATTGCATTCAATAGCGGTCAAAATGGATATTTTCATTGAAATATGCTGCCTGAAACGTTTTGCGATTACAATACTTCCTTTTTACTTCGTACAAGGAAGTAAAAAGGAGGGAGAGGGACCATTCTATTGGACTGATCATCAAAACTCAAAATCTTACTTTTTCTCAAATAACATACCTTTTCCCCCATATTTCAATTCTAAGAGTTAAATTATGCCTGCAAAGTTTTGTAAAAATTGCATGGGTAGTTCTTAAAAAATTAGCTCTCAAAATTTCAGCTTCTCCATGTTAATTGAATTTGGTATATATTAATAGCTTTTTTTTCATTAAACTTATTTGTTTCTTCCTTTCACATTTCGAAATTTAGGTTCATTCCAAATAAAATTCACCCTTTTTTACGATTTATTTTTAAATAACTTTTATAAATTTTTCACAAATTTTTAATAACCTATACAATTTTCACCATCGTCTTAAAGCAGTTGTATTTCTAAGCATACCTTAAAAAATTAAAAGTTTTTTTATCCAAAATTTCATAAGATATACATGAATTGACATATTGGCATAATTTGAAATTTTGTACATATAAGTGATAATGCCAAATGTGATTTACGCACTTTGTTAAAATTATTTGAGAATAATGAACAATGACTTATTCCCACTCATGTAGAATGGAGGGGGGAGGGAAGATAGGCAAGGAAATTAGGTTGCTATAAATTAAGAAGTTCGCCAACTGAATTGGAATCCTTCGTGCAAACTGAAAATATGCGACAAGATAAATTAAATTTTTAAATTTCTCCATAAATTACAAAATTTAATATCTAGGCATGATTTGAATCGTAGAATCGAAATAAACGAAACCTTGACTAATCACTAAAGAGGATGCAGATTCAATGTAGATTTCAACTGCAATGTTTTTTCTTCCAGTTTAGATGGGCCATCCTTCCTTACCTAGTGGGTGAAATACAAAGCATGGTTTTTTGGAATAAAAGTTTTTTGTTACGCCTTCTGTACAATGTGATAAAGTTCCACTAGAAATTGCAAGATTTAAGATTGTCTTAATTCAGTTGTTTAGCAATTATGTTCCCATTATAACAGTTTTGAGAAGCAATTTTTTTCTTCAATAATCTTATCCAGCTTCCTAATAACTCTAATCATTTGTAAAAGGCAAAATACAATCTTGAAAGATTTATGCATCTTTGCATTTCGATGTCCTGCTTCTAAATAGCTGCAGCTTTTCACCAGGAAATTCATCTAAATATTTTTGGTGCCCTGATAAACCTTGCACCTACTCTAGAATTGAGGAATTTTGTGAAGAAATATACTTTTGGATAAAGAGACTGATTACTTGATGAAATATTTTCATGTAATTGTAATTTTTGAACACAAGCATTAATTCATTTATAACTAAAGTATTCAACAATTCAATTTCTTAAACAAAAAGTGCATATTTATTGTTTCACATTTTAAAGATAAAATGTCATCTTAATATTAAATGTCAAGATGCAGCCAGACACAAAAAGTAATTTGCAAAATAATGAAAAATTATCAAGTTATGAAGCCAAGTTAATTATTTTTTTTTTTCAGTTATAAAAACACCACTCAAATATGTAATGGCAATCCACATTAGAACAAACAATTACATGTAATGCATATTTTTCTAAAAGTGACTTCATAAGTTTCACTCTACTAAACTATAAAATCAAACACTTACGTCACCAGCTTTAGAGTTTCTTCTTAAGAAATGCAATGGCAAAGGTTTACTCAAACTAAAATCCAATTTTCTGAGCATTGATCTTTCCATTTTAAAAATTTCCTGCTTAGAATATGTATTATCAGTAATGTAAACAAAGTCTCCTATGTCTGGAGCATACATTTCTTCATATTTTGAAGCAATGAACATTGCACTAACTCCCACAAGCTGCAGTTCTGATCTTTTCACTTTTTCAACCTGTTATTAAAGAATAAATTTACTGAAATGTAACAGCAAATAAAAATATAGATTATCATCTTTTGTTGAATATTTTGTAACTTTTTAACTATTGTAACAGAAAAGGAGGATATAAACCAGAAATTTCTCACTTTAAATTGAAAAAAAGAAACCGACTCTTACAGGCATTAGACTAATATTTCTGCAATCTTACATAATTCTCAAAATTGCACTACTATACTTTACAACAAGCTAACCTGAGAACACATATAAGACTAGAATGACCTTTTCATCCTGTTCTTTTAGTTATCCATACGCAGTAAACTGCTCGCAGAGATTCAATTCCTCCAATTTTCTACACATTTGGCAACTTCTTGCCAAATCCAGCGTATTTAAATAACATTTTTTTTTTTATGTAGTGAAGCTGCAGTTGAAATTGATAGTTCATCATAGTGTAAAATATAGGGCATGTTATTCATTGTCTTAATTTATGCGAAATATTTCACTATTATCTAAATGTGACGAATTTGATGATATTTAAAACTTGAAACTGTTAGAGCTAACAATGTATTCCTTGCAGTTTTTGTCAAATTTTTTCCCGAAGACCGTTTGCTTAGTTAAAAGTAAAATATATACATTTGGAAAATCTGGTAGTAAGTTATTTTCTTTTAATTTTTAAGAGTTTATGCGGCTTGTTGCTACCAAAACAGTGAACGAGGGGAAATTTTTTATTTTTATTTTTTAAAGACGTTAATTTCATTTTAATTTGCGATTGTTTAAAAAATGGACAATATTTTATAGCAGACATTATAAACATTATATCCTGTATCAATATTTAGAAAAATACTAAAGCTTTAAAATTGTGAAACAAACAATCAAGAATCAAATAATCTTATACCAATTACTTTCACTAATCAATTAAAATTATAACATTAGAAATATCTTATATTAGTTATAACAAAGCACAAATATTCATAAGAACTTAAAGAAGTGCATTTATTGCTTTTAAGACATTTGCTTGTATTTTAAAATTAAAATTTTTATCCTTTGACGAATGAAACGTCTACGCGTGACGGGACGTGAAAGGTGGGTCTTTTGCTTTGCGCAAAGGAATGTATTGCTTTTACATCTCTCAATTTGTAAAAAGCAGACTGATTCAGCTCACTGAGAATCTGCAAATTATATGTGAATGACTGTATAAGTTAGGCAAAAACCATACATTTCCTTTGAGGTATAAAAACAACAAGCATATCATATGAAAAAAAATCTGGTTTTTCCTTTCCTTAGATGGAATCATCTACAAGTCAAGTGCATTAACAATAGAGTTGCTTAAGCCGTGAAAACACTGGTAATATGCAGCAAGTTGGTTGTAATGGCTTTTGTAAGATCTGAACTGCATAGAAGTCCCTCAGTGTGTTGTATAAAAAAAGGTCTTTTACCCTTATAAATTCCCCATGAAGCCATCATTTCCTCTAGACAGGAACCCTTGTTTCTTCTAGTTCATTTAATTGATCAGTACTTCCGTATTGGTTAGGTTGGGTGATTTGAATATAGCAAAACACACAAGAGATATCCGACTAAGGAGCGAGATTCATTTCGTGGAGGACTTTCTAAAGGAAACAAGCTCGTATTCACGTTACACATGGGAAAACCACCAAAACCGACCATGAATACAGCTCGTTCGCTTGCGCTCAAACGATTTAAACACTCAGCTACTGGTGCGACACTTCTATATTATGTTTTCTAAAGGATTTCTTAGCTTGTATAACAGTTATAATGTTATTTATAATTGTTTATAGGTCTGCCTTTATTTGGCCTTGAAAACGGCTATTGCATTTTTAATTTGTGGCAAAGGGCTTTTTTTTTTTTTTTTAAACTGAAGTATTCAATCCCGCAAAAATTATAACAAGTAACAATATTGTTATCGTATTTATTAGGAAAATGCCCTCTCGTAATTGACATAAACCTTCATTATATAATTTTAGCGGTACTGTTTATTCAGGTTTATGAGGTTGAAAATTATACACATATTTCGAAGATGAAGCAGATACCATAACAATTGCTTTTTTCTTCTCCCGGTCAGTGAATGAATACCCTAATTGGTTTTATTGTCAAGAGTGGGGTGAGGTCAGAGTTGCTGGAATTTTCAGTTTCGCCAATAATGCCAAAAAAAGGGGATGTCTTCCTGCTGGTCATTGAATGATTGACACAATTTAGCAAATTTTTAAACAAAAAGCTGGACGCAACATAATCTATCGTTTAACACATTTTTTCTTTCCGTTCTCTTTGTTCAACAGTATTCATATCAGCGTAAATTTTACAATATTACTTCTCGAAATGGTAGAACTATATTCTACGGCAGACGCCTACCCTTTCTACTATAGCCAGTGTTCTCAGCTTAGGTTGACTTGAAGTATAGTTCAATATTAAAAGCAACCCTGAAAAGTAAAAATTCGGACTGCAATTTTTTAATAATAAATAAAATGCAACTTTAATGACTTCAAATGAAGCTTAGACACTTCTAAAATCCCTTGCTAAAAGTATTGGTAACATTTCAAGCTTTTAAAAGACTAACTTAGCTATGATAACATTAATCTAGAAATGACGTCTTAGATGTTTAAAATCATTATCCTTCATTCATTCAGTTAAAGATTTGTGAAATGAAATATCAAGTGTCTGATGTACAATTTTCTTAAATTTTACTTAATGTAGCTTTTTTAGCTTACAGATTTATTTATGATGGATATTAAATTCAAAGAGTAGAACAATGTTATTTCTATGACAGAGTACATAATAAGCATAATTTTTGAAACAAAAATACCATATTTTTGCTTTGTGAATAGTGCATCTTAAAGGATAAATGTTAAGGACACCTCTTATATAAAGGTTTCTGGAAATCTGAGTAAGAAAAATACCTGGAGATACCGATCAATAATAGACACAGTTAAGTAGAGCGTTTCTTGAAGTAAATGAAATCGTAGATGAACTTGAATAAGCCAATCGATTAATACAGCTCTCATCTTTCCTGTTATTTCAGGCTGAATCTTTAAATGATGCTCATGCACAGGATATATTAGCTAAAAATTAAAAAAATATATATGTTTTATTTAATACAGTCACAAACTGGATACACATTCAAGAATGACTTAAGTTAAATTTTATTTTTTTACATGAAATGCAGAAAAAGTTCTAGGTTCTGTAAAACACTATTGAGTTTACATCACTAAAAATTTCCAGGAAAAATGACATCTGAAAACAAAAACGAATAAAAATAAACAAAGCTTAGATAGAAATTTAGAGTCATACACTAATTTAATAATTTGCAATTTAAAATATATTTTCAACAGTACCCTCAAAACAAGATGGGATTAGCAAACTGCTTTTACAGAGAGAAGAAAAACTGGCTGGAATAAATAGGTTACTCCCACAAATGAAAGAAAAAAAAAAATTGAGCTTTTATTCGCCTACATTTATTGCTATGTGGCTTTATATGCGAAGTCATTCCACTAGCTTTCACACTTCATATAAGGGTATAGGACTTGCCTCTAGCATTTGTTTTGCCATTTTCTTTAATGTCTAGAAATGTATTCCTTTTCTGAATGATCTCTTCTTGTGCCTTCTTAACACATATTACAAGGTAAAAAACACATATAATAAAATTTCAAAATGAATTAATTTCAGAGACAAAAACTACAGGAAAAGATACAGCAAGTGCTCTAAAAGAAAATTAAACACATTTAATTCTGTATTATGCCATATAACTGCAAGTTCATATCCAGAGACTCAATAAAAACTTATGAAAACAGATGGAATTTCTTTCGTCAAGATCTATTTACAGGCAAGAGGAAGAGCTTTGTAGCTTATTTAAAACCTTCTTAACCGCATGACTGCTATGCGGTGTAAAAGCGCTGCGTTCATTTGTCTCGAAAAACGCGACACTGCGCTGAGTTTCAGTGTGTCTTTGTTGCTTTACAATACGAAAAGAATTATTAAAATTGATTGATATTTGTCTAAATGAGAGTTATTTGACAAGATTAAGTCAAAATACATCCTGCAGTTTTCATGCGTTCTTGCAAGAATTGCTTAGCAGTCAAACGGTTAAACACTATATAATTAAACTATGTTAATTGCAAAAAATATTAATTTATAAAGCATTAAATTGCAATAATCTTTTTTATTGGTCCAACATGCACTAGGAGGAGAAATCGAGGCATTTAAGAAATGTGTATGGGGCTTTGATTTAGAATCAAAGCTCCCCTCCCCCACATCTGTTTCAAAAACTATATATACCACAAAATTTTTCCATTCCAATTTGAAAGCTTTTTGCGACAAAAAATTTGCAACTTGAAATGTTTGAGCAATGTATAGTAAAAGTCATATTTGACAGTGCTCTTAAGCATTTTACTTCCATGCAAATTTTAACATTTCAACACAGCAAACTCAAATAATTTCAGTAAAATATATTGGCAAAACAAATGTTACCAGGAAAAATGACAATAAAAACGTTCCTTTTTACTGCATTTGCATGACATTTCTTTGTTTACAAAGGCATGAATATTTGTAAAGTTAAGAAAAATTCATGAAATGTATGAAACAAATTTCACATGCATTGAAAAATGAGTTGACCTGATAAAAATAAATAAACTAACAGGTATGCGGTAATTTTTAACTTATATATATATATAATAATATAAGAAAATTAATTTTTGTTATCAGTTATAAAGGCAATTTGGTAAGATAAATTAAAATTATTACTTAAAATCTTGCACTTTTTTCCAGAATTTTCCAGAAGAAATTTCCAGAAGAAAGGTATGTGCTATAATATGCAGAAATATAATGACATTTTGTACAATGGAAATATACATTCTCTTCTGCATATCTCACTGAATAAAGTGATTTAGAATCAATTACACTTTTAAATTTTCTCTCCATAGAAAAAAAAAAAATCTAGCAGTTTACAGGGTTCGTACACACTTCTGCATGTGGAAACTGAGGACGTTTTAAGGAATATCAATGAGAACAGTTAAGTACCTATCAAGTAAATATTAACGAAATATAATTAAACAATTATCTACACCTGAATTTTACTTTTGAAATTTGTAAGAGTAAAATAAATGTGCAAGTAATATGCAATATTACTAAACAAAATCCAAAATTTAAAATAAAACAAATTCTTTAAATACTCAAAATGGAAATTTCTAAATTAAGCATACCAAAATTTTTTCACTTAGATCTGAAAATGTAAATTCAAGAAAACTTTTTCTAAATTGGAAAAAAAAAAAAACTTTTTTTCATATATGGATCCTTTTATAATTTGCTGGTCCAGTATGTAGAATATACAAGCATACTTGCCAACCTATGACACTCAAAAATCAGGAAATTTTTTTAAGAAATCAGAAGATTTTTCACAATGTTAAAAAGACTTTTAAAATGATAAAAATATAGTTTTTAATAATGAATTAACTTTAACTAGTAACTAATTCTTAAATGCAAGCAACACAGAAATACCTTACACATACATAACATTTTTATTACTTGCATAGTTTACGGGGGGAAAGAAAGAAGGGAAAAAAAAAAAAAAAAAAAAAACATGACACTTTAATCAGTTTTCGTACAAATGTTATAAACAGTGGCAGATTTTGCTTTCTTTAAGAAAGAACTTCATAATTTTTGTTCACAACAAATGCCAGGTGGGCCTGCTTTCGCTAATCAATTTTTTCTAATGTGTAATCACTAATATTATATCTAAATTTAGGTCTCGTTTTCACAACAACACTGAGAATCCTCTCACACTCTGCATTACTATTGGGAACTGTCAAGATGGCCAACACAATTCTAGACAGTTCACTATATTTTAAAATTCCATCAGCACCTTTCAGTTTTCCAATTAAACCCCACTGGGAGTTAATCCTAGCTGATTTTATAACTTCATGCAAGTTTTCTAATTGTAAACTGCTGTTCGAACTATATCAATTTTTCCTTCCTTCAACTTCTTTCAAGATAATAACAAATATCAACAATGTGTTCATCTACATTTATTGGTAAAGAAGCTGCCCCCTTTTCAGCTGCTAAATTTAAGAGGTTACAGGTGCACCTCATAAGCTGCAAATCTGAATTTTCCTTTCTTAAGATGAATGCCTACCAATACTGGTGCATTATCGGCACCAAGTCTTAAGCAATTATCCAGAAGGCCTGCATTTCCTTTTAAAGTTTTAATAATTAGCTGTGCTATATTAAAGCCTGTCAAATGTCCTTCTAAAGTGGGAATAGAAAGTAAACTGCACTCAATTTCTGAAGACTCTGGATTAAAAAAAGAAACAATTGGATACAGTTTTGAATTGTTATTATTGCTTCCATCCGTAGAAAGGTAGAATGGAGCTGTTTTAATGCAATCAATAACTGAAGATTTATTTTTCAAACCCATTTCTTTAACAATTGCACCTGTTTGGATTCTTGCACTTGAGTATTTCTTAGCGATTTCACCATCGGGAAACATTTTTCTAAATAAAGCTGCAGCGTGATTCGATGCATTCAGTAGCAGCTTGTGTTCGTAAAAAGGGAGAGAACAAACATTCTGCATAACTTTTTGGTCCTTTGTTTCCGAAGAAAAATTTAATTTTTCGTTTTTTTTTAAAAAAAAACAACTCATGTTATCCTCGTGTTTTTGTGTACGCACATGTTTGAGAGCATCCGCCCTTCCACCATGCGAAATCGAAAAATCGCAACGACAGGCGGTACACATCGCAAATTTATTACGTTTCCTTGAGGAAATAATGGAAGGAAAGTCACCTGTGTACGATCTTTGAAACGTACACGAGTATTTCACCATTCTCGCAGACATAACAAAAGATGATAATTTCTAAAACTATTTCCCTAAGGCACGTGTACGCACACAACTCAGGACAAAATGAACGAAATAACCAAACAACGTCCAAATAACAACTTGCTTTGTCCTCATTGGCTAATATATGCCAGCTGACAAACAGTGGAGTTCGATGCCCATTAAAGAAATGGAGAACGACGTTTCTGGATACGTATAGTGCTCTCACTCACAAAGCAGAAGCTATCCGATTCGCAAGGTTTTGTTTTAGATATAATGTAGAGAAAATTTAATTGCTTTCAGACGTCCGAAAGCACTTTTTTTTTATTCATATAACAAAGTATTAAGCCAAGTTGCATAAAAATCATGAGAAATTTTAAGAATAAGAAAAAGTCGGGAGAAATATATTGTAAATTGGGTTGGCGGGAGAGCGGTCGAAAATCAGGAGAGGGTGCAACTCTGTACAAGTATTGAAGGTGGTTAGCTCCATGTATCGTGTAACATCTCCTACATCAGCTTGATGAGAATACTTTCATTTGTAGTTAGTTTCAAACTTGCTACTTGAACATTAAGAAGAATAAGGAAATTATTAAAAGTCTTTGTTTTTAGCAGATTTTATTTATTGCTACCTAAAAGAAACATTGGATTTCTTTGTATTTGTGAGTTCCGAGTTTCTCACGCAAGAAAAGATGAACATTTTCCTTCTAGATTATTAAATACTGTTGGTAAAAGAAAACTGAGTAATAAAATTTAATGAAGTTTGATTTCAATTTTTTTTCTCTTTGTCTATGTCTGGAATGCTTTTTGTAGCTCGTGCATTAAGATTAATCAATAGTTAAAATTAGCAATGTTAATATGAGATTGTAATGTATTTTGCAGTAATTTACAAAACAGACAATCTTCTTAATAGAACACAAATTTTATTTCTAGCTCTCGGTGATAGACAAATTTTATACAATTCCTAAGTGGCAAAATTTTAATACCACTCCTAGCTGGCAAAATCTTCAGAATACAAAATCTTTTTAAAAACAACATCTCTCGTTGCTGAGTAACGGTTTGATACAAATATGGCGTTGCCACTTCAACAATAATTATATTTATTTATTAAATAACAAGATATTACAACCTCTCCCCCCTCCAGATAAACTTTAATTTATAAAAATATAAATTAAAGTTTTTAAAACAATAATATCAGCACAACACAGAATTAAAATACAAGCATTTAAAGGAGAATTAAACAAGAAATAACATAATAAC